GGACTGACCTATCCCCTTCCTAACTCCCTACCTACACTCACCTTTACTGGCTCCATCCCCGCCTCTTCGACCTGTTTGTTTCCTCTCCACCTATCCTCTCCTCTATCCCTCTTCTATCCGCCTCCCACTCTCTCCCTATTTATTTCAAAACCCCCTTCCCCTCCCCCTTTTCTGATGAAGGGTCTAGGCCCGAAACGTCAGCCTGTCTGCTCCTATGATGCTGCTTGGCCTGCTGTGTTCATCCAGCCCTGCACCTTGTTCTCTTTCTAAATACTTGCAGATATGGTTTTAGTACTTTATGTGGAGGTCCTATTGACAGGACCGTGTTGAAGACTAACCATATGGATGGATTGGGATTTTATTAGGCAGAAAAAAAAAATCGAAATGCTGGTTTAATAGAAACCCACAATTTTCCAATACTAGTCAATTGATCCTCCAATGCTATACCCAGAATTTTACAAATGTTACAATATAGAATGTCTTTGTCCAAAACAATGGCAACTATGTAAAATACTTTGAGGCAACCTGTTCAGACCTGCCTCCAGACCAGGTAAGCCTTGAACCATAAGAGCCCAAGCCTTCAACCTGTAGGGTCAGCAAATTGTGCAATTTAAAGACAGTTTGTTTTCCTTTCTCTGTCTATTTCTTATGTCTTTGGTACCATTAATATTTGTCTAACACCCAGGAGCAGGAGTCAAAATATTCCTGCCACCAGTTGACGTCACATTTATCGACATCGTTCTGCCTCTGGCCCATTTTCCTGGAAACAGGATCAAAGACCGAAAGGTTTCCCGCAGCAGACAGAAAAATCAGGTAAAATGCTCCTCGATAACAATTGAAGGGGCCAAAGGTATGGCAACTCATTTAAGATGGAGATGAAGAGAATTCTTATCTGACAGGGGTTTATACGTCTTTAGAGCTCTTTTCCTGACAGGGTGGTGAAAGCAGAGTCCTTGAATAATTTTAAGGCAGAATTGGGTAGATTCTTGTTTTCGAGGGATGAAAGGTTTTCGGGGTTCAGTGGGAATGTGGATCAGCCATGATGTTACTGAATGGTGGAGCATGCTCCAGGAGCTGAGTGGCCTCTCCTGCTCCTAATTCATATGTTTGTATATAACTTAAAAGATCAAGTCTTTTCTGGATTGACTGGTTTTAGCTAGCACCTCAGGGTACAATTGGGACTAGTGTCCCTGAGCTGGAGAAGTGCCAACTAGTCAAAGGCCACTGTTTGGCAATAAAGGCCACAAATAACATGAATTACAGTCTACCAGTCTTGCTGGAATGTTAGATTTTGCCACACAGTCTTGAAGGATGTTCTCAGTGTCATACAAAATTACCTGCATTGCGCTCTTTCCCATCCTGACCACCTCAAACAGTGTGACAGCCTCAATGTCATCACTCCTCTGCCTGTGTCCATTCCTGCGGTCCTGGCGGGAACACACTGACGCTCTCCTTCTGCTTTTCTCAGACTGGCTCCTCCTTCTCCTTTTCCACGACTTTTAAAAAAAACAAAAAGGGAAAGAATGTTTTACAGTTGATTTCCAAAACTAGGACTTGAAACATTAACTCTTGTTTCTGTCTCCACAGATACTGCCAGACCTGCTGAGTTTCTCCAGCACATTCTGTTTGTGCCTAAAATTTCAACTGTTGCCATTCATAACACTTCACTTGCTCAGCTCACTACTTTCCACTGAATGTCACTGCTCCTGCCTCTAGCAACCTGAAATCAAATTATGTAACCCTGCCGTTGTAAACATGAGAACATGTAGATCGAGTAGATCATGACTTATATCTTATCTACTACGTTTTTCCTATTCTTTTATACCCTCACCCAACAAAAATCTATCTAGCACAGATTTCAAATGTTCGAATGGACCCCAGCCTCGATAGCTTTCTGAGGGAAGGAGTCTCAAATTTCCATTGCCTTTTTATGAAGAAGTGCTTCTTGGTCTCACCTATGAACAAGCTCACTCTAATTTCAATGTGAAATCCTCTCGTTGTAGGCTGTTCTACAAAGCAAAGCAGTTTCTCTCTATTAATGCTGTTAAATCCTTTAACCATCTTAAACACATCAATTAGATCACCCTCAATCTTGTTCTATTGTTTTAATTCATTTTTATTTCATTGGTTCTTCTTTTATTTGTATATTTGAAGTCTAATTTGGCCACATCAAAGAAATCTATATTTAATTTTTTGCTCATGGGATACGGGCATCGCTGGCTAGGAGAGTATTAATTGTCCATCCCACATTGCTCTTGAGAAGGTAGCAGTGAGCTGCCTTCTTGAACTGCTGCAGTCCTTGCAACGTAGTGACCCCCACAATGCTGTTACAGAGGGAATTCCAGGACTTTGACCCAGCAACAGTGAAGGGCAATATAGTTTCAAGTCAGGATGGTATGTGCCTTAGAGGGGAAATTGTAAATGGTGTTGCTCCCATGTATCTGCTGGCCATCTGCTTCCAGATGGCAGAGGTTGCTGGCATAGAAGATGCCTTCGGAGGAGCCTTGGTGAATTTCTGCAGTGAACCTTGCAGATGGTATACTCTGCTCCACTATGCTTCGGTGGTGGAGGGAGAATTTTTAAAACACACATAGGGTTAAAAAATGACTCGACTTGCAGTGTGAGCAATATAAATAATAGATTCTAAATATTTGTGGCTTCTATAAGTTTTGGTCACATTGGATTATTGAATCCTAAATTTAAAACAAACCGTAATACAGACACAGTCTTATAGCAATATCAGAGAATTAAAACCAGCAGGTTCAAAAACGCTTCTTCCCTGCCGTTGTTAGACTGTTGTATGGACGCTCTAACTTCAAATAATGCTGATCTTGCTAATGTTGATCTTACATAGCGTACGCCCTGTGCAATATAACTTGTATTGCTCTGTCTGTTTTTTTTTCACCCTACGATCTGTCTATACTGCTCGTAAACAAAGCTTTTCACTGTACTCAGGCACACGTACAATAAATCAATCAAATCAAATCAAATCAAAACTAAATCTTGGGATCAAGAGACCCCTACCATCGAATCTTGCACCTATCTTGTTGCTAGGAGAGGAAGTTTCTGTGTACTCACCGATATGGAACCTCCACTTCCTCTCCTCTGATTTTCCAGATCATTGTCAGGCTCCAAGTGGCTCTCATTCTCTCTGCAACATACATACAACACATGAACATCTAGAGACTCTGGACTACATTGACCCAATTCTATTGTGCAATAGAAAGGGCACTGGAATTATTCTGCAGATTATTTTCCATGGTCCATCTAAATCTGGGTGAGGTAGTGGAGAACCAGAAATCCAACCAATATTATACAGCGCTGGATGAATTTTTTCATCTGTCCCCGTAGTAGTTGAAATAACCAAATTCGGTTTCCATAATACAGGATTTGCGGCAGCATGGTGGCTCAGTGGTTAGTTGTGTCACAGCTTCAGGGACCTAGGCTTAATTCCACCCACAGGCAACTGTCTGTGTGGAGTTTGCACATTCTGCCCATTTCTGCGTGGGTTCCCTCCCACAGTCCAAAGATGTGCCATCTGGTTCACTAGTGTGCTTTAGGGAAAGAAACTGCCATCCTTACCTGGTCTGGCCTACATGTGGCTCTAGGCCCACAGTAATGTGGTTGACTCTTAACTACCCTCTGGGTAATTAGGGATGGGCAATGAATGCTGCCTAGCCAGGTGATACCCTATTTGTAAGAATGAATAAAGAAAAAACTGGTTAGGTGAATTTGGCCATTCTTAACTGCCCATAGTGTGCAGGAATGTGCAGGCTAGGTAAATTAGCCATGGGAATTGCAGGGTTACAGGGATAGGATAGGGGAGGGTCAGTATTATGGACTCGATGGGCAAAATGGCCTGCTTCCACACTGTGGGGATTTTAAGATTTATGCTAGCATTTTGAGACAATAGATCTCAGAAATATTACTCATGAGAAGGGACATTAGCATCAGAGCAAAGGGGGCTTGTACTTTTTTCTGACGTTTTGGGTGGGATTAGTCAGGATAGTTGCAGAAACAGAGGGCCGAAGTCTAGCAAAACTCGTAGCATTTTCTCACATGACCAATCGTGATATCTTGTGGTATTTTCTACCTCCACGAGAATGTGGACTGGGAAAGGGTGCGGAGGGAGTTTGCTGTCTCCCACCTCCTTTGTCTTTGCTATGTCTCAGCCTGTCTGAGGTCTTCCTGCTGAGGGTAACTGAGTGTCCATTCAGTTATCAGACCCCTTAGTGCCTTGGGTTTGTTGGGATAGAGTCAAACTCAAATGTTGTTCGCCTCCTGAATTTGTGACAATATGTACAAAGACATTTTTTAAAACTAAAGTATATTTTTGAAATAAAAAATTAGAGGACTATTCATCGCCATGACATATATGTACAGAATAGTCACAGTTCTTAATTAACCAGAAGATTTATTGCACAATAGCAGTAAGTACAACTACAATTGGACAGGCAAAATTCCTAGGACTATAGGGAACTGGTAAAGATGTATTTACATCCTACAAAAGCAAGAATGAAACTTTTTGTCTTCACCCACAGATGGCGTGTGACTCAGTAGAATGGGTAAAGTCAACGTACCAATCTCTTCCCTCAAACTTTTCTCCCCATAGTCAATCCATTATACAATTATGTACATTCACAATTATCCAAATATCTATGCACAAATGCAGACATTCTGCACATTGCACACTTTATTCGGAGTGCACTCACATCTGTCTAGATTGTGCAATATATTACTTATTGTAAATTTATGTTTTTAGTTTTAGAGTTAGTAAAATGTCAATTTTCTGTATGTCTGAAGTTAATAATTAGCTTGTAAGTGGTGATTTCTTTTATTACAGTTTTTGAGGTCTAGCACTGGAAGTAATGGGCTTTTGTGTACATTGATAAGATTTTATGACTGAACAATATAAATAAGTTCCAGTTCAGAAGATGAGAAGAAGTTCTTTTAAAATTTAATAGAAATACCCACATATTGGACAGAGAGAGAGTTTTGTTTTTAAATTTCACTTGGAGTTTTGATGTAATTCGATGAAGTTGGCTGTATAGACAGTGTTCCCAAGAAAGGAGGGATCTAATGAAGTTAGATTACCTTAAAGAGTTAGTGGTAGTCTCAACAATGTAATGTAGGTGTAAAACCCCAAAGAGGTCACTTCAAGTAAAGTAAATTTAAGCTCAGGCAAATAATAGATCCAGGGAAAGCTACTGCAGTTCTACTCTATAAGTTAAAGCCACATAAAACTTAAACATATTCAGGCTTTAGAGACAGTCACTCTGGTGTGAGTACCAGATGAGAGGTGTTTTTGGTTACTGTATAAGGTGTGTTTTGAGGGACTGTACCGGGGATGGGCTTTGGGTACTATGTAAAAGCTGTTGTTTTTCTTTTCAATTTATAAAGGAGTGTTTTGGGATTAATAGCATTATACTTTTATTGTCTTTATGGAAATCTTTGAATTCATGTTTAAACAGGCTTATTCTGTTTTACCTTCATTACAATTGTTAATAAACTTCTGTTTTATTGTTAAAGCAAAATCTGCAGCATTATATGCTTATTGTCTGAGCAAGAAACTACTTTGCTAAAACCAAAACAAACGAAATACGATCTATCTAGCCAGGTTTCAGTCTGGCATCTGATTTGTCGGGTAATAACTTCATAGCAATTGGAACAAGAGTAGGTCTCTTCCATGAGAACTGTTGACCATGGTTCTGATCTATGTGTCAGTTCTTCTCTCATAGAAACATAGAAATTAGGTGCAGAAATAGACCATTGGGCCCTTTGAACCTGCTCCATGATTCAATATGATCTGGGCTCCATATCTCAATGCCATATTCCTATTTTCTCCCCATACCCCTTGATATACTCATCTCTCTCCTGAATAAATTCGGTGGTTTGGCATCCGCAGCCTTCTGTGGTAGGGAATTCCACAGGTTCACTACAACTTTAGAACTCAAGTTTCCAAACAATAATAATAGAATTTGAACCTCCATCACATATTTCATGAAGAAATGATGCAATTTTTAAAAAGCCTCCAGTCAACTCCCGGCCGCTGCTTGACTCCCGGTCTCAGCACAGATACCATCGTGGATCCTCTCGGCCTGCCGTAGGAGCCTCCCCTGGCAGCCCTCCAGCATGGCGTCCTCTTGGCCCAGTGTAGCAGTACGTGGCAGTCTCTCAGTCTAGCATGGTTTTGGCTCGGCCACCCAGTCTCAAGGTGATTCCAAAGCGATCTCCCAGCTTCATAAACCTCAAGGTGAAGCCTGGCGCAGTCTGGAGCCAAGGCCCAGTGCGGACTGGAGGCTCGTTGCCAGTGTGGTCCAGGTTGGAAGTCCGTTGTTCTGAACTTTTATTTCCGAAATGCTAGACATTTTATTTCTCTATTTTCTAAGATCTTGTAACTGACGAAATAACTTTGTCCCGAAGATGGCACTGTAAATGGCAACTTATAAACTTTTCACTGTACTCATTTGAGTACATGTGACAATAAAGATAATTATATTCTATTCAATTCTATTTTTATTCCCCCCCCCTCCCCGGAACTGAGCTAGCAGGCAAATTTGGAAAGATAACTAACCCAGCAACTTTTAAAAGACATTTGTTCAGCATCAACTTCGCTTCCCCCAACCTCCCCCCGCCCCTTCTCGCACACTATGACTCACATCCACCCAGAATGAATCATTCATCAGTTAAGTGGCTCCTTACTTTTGGAGGGAGGCCTTGCTGGATAATTCTGGCTCTGCTATCATCACTGCTTCGTGTTCAGAAATGCAGTCAAAGGTCTAACAAAGTGGCCTTCTTAGATTGGGAGCCATCATATGGTGTCCATCTGCTGCATGTTCTTAGTCCCTGCCTCAGGAACTCCTCCGTTTTGGGTCACATTTTGTTCCAGAGCTGCAGAAATGAAAAGAAAGCACATACAATGTGTTAATGAAACGTGGATACAGTGGTGTTCTGTATGAAAACAGAAAAGAAGATATGTCTTACATTTACATAGTATTCTACATGACCACAAGACATCTCAAAGAAATTTATAGCCAATTGAATGTTTTGTGAAGTATGGTCACTGCTAAACGTAGAAAACACAGCACCTAATTTGCATTCAACAAGCACCTACAAACAACAATGTGTGATGATCCCAGCTAGTGGTAATTTTAAACAACTCAAATCCCAGAGTAAAATCGAGTTTGATTACGAATTCTATTTCCACAATCTGGTTGGTCAGTCACTGCATGTATTTGCACAAAGCTATTGAACAACTTTACCAAAAGAACATAACTTTATTGGACAAAAAAGCTACATATAACACAATTTAGTAAGATCTTAGCCTAAACTACAAAATAATTCAAAAATTCTTAACACTTTTTCCCAGCTACATTCTTTACAAGCATAACTCAACTCCAGGGAAGTATCTTCACTCTAAAATTTCTTACACAGCTGACTTTCTGCCCATTTGCCAGATTTAAGCCACTCTGTCTCTCCCAGGAACACATAAATGCAGATGAGTGACTCTTTTCAGTTCTCCTCCTTGGTTTGCTAAAATGGCTTAAGACTTATTTTCAGCTCCGTTGGCCTGAAGATTTCTTTACAACTCTCACAACCTGGAGACTTCTACAAAGTTAAAAACCGTTGTTCTCCTGGTGAGATTATCTTCTTCTGAACTCAAACTGCTAGTCTATTTCTGTAGATCACAAAACTCAACACTCTAGACAATCAGCAATTAGCTGCCCAGTTTAGGACCCATGCTTCCTCGGAAATTATATTTGAACTCACTATTCAAAAAAGACTTTCTGACCTTTTTATCAAAAAAGGCTACCCTCAAGAACTAAAACTAAAAATCCATTTACCACTTCTTTAGAATCCAATTTCTCGAATGAAAGTAGATTAGAAGCCTGTATCACAAATGCCATAATGATCAGGTAATTTGTTTTTATTGTGTTGATCTCTCTTTTACAAAATAATGCCAAGGTAGGAGATAAGCAGAAACATTCCTAGTATGAGAGCAGCAGGAATGGAAAACATCTCTATAATCAAGGTGACAGTGAGAACTACTTCTCACCAGGTCATCCCTCAGTCAATGCACTGACAATGACGCATGTCCTTAAGGGAAGAGGTGAGCACTTCAGGAAGCACACTGGTTAGTTAAAGGAAAATGGCACAGGGGTAGTAAGACCATTTTCTAGCTTTGCACAAGAATGAAAGTGACAATATAAAATAAAGTAGACAAAGAAAAACTGTTCCTACTATCTCTATTCCTATTAGCTGATGGCCAAAGGATAAGAGGACAAATATTTCAGGCTTTAGTCGTAAGAGACTCTGAGGAACATAAAGAAAATCTTTCTTTAACACAGTGAGTGGTAATGACCTGAAACTCACTGACCAGAAGGGTAGTGGAAGCAAGAGCAAGGATTTCAATAAACTTGCATAGCTTCAAAGATATAACGGGGAAATTGCACTGACTGGGTTGTTCCAGAGAGCTGTCATGAAACTAATGGGCCTAATGGTCCCTGTCTGTGCCTCTATGACATGTAAGAGGGCTATGTGAAGGGAGAATTATCTCTGGTACAGTATCTTACAGCAGCACATAAAGGTACATAATGTGAAGGAGAAAAAGCACATGATAAACAACCAAACTACATTATCCTCAGCACTATTTAGCACAGTATCTCAAAGAGATTTATGTGGTAGGTGGCCAACTTCCTGCTTATTACCCGAATGAGTCAAGTTTAATATTTTCACAAGACTGCAGGCCCACAGTTTATTGTAGCATTTTTTCACCTGATAATTTCTTCCAATTGAAGATTTCCAAAGGCCAGATTCTCACTGCTTTTCACAAAGAGCGAGAGAGATTCATAGGCAGCTAATGCATATGTATCTTTGTGAAAGGAGCTATACATACATCAGTTACACACAGACAGCTGTCAGCAGAGGAGTGCAGAACATTTTCTCTTAAAAATTCAGGCAATGAGGTTACGATCACAGGAATTAGAGAGTGAAAAATGCTACAATATTGGGAGAGGTATTGTGCATATGAAATGTTATGTTGATAAATGAATGGAAAGAAATGGAGCCTTTCTCGGAGATGTAATCTCAAACCATGATCTTAGTGATTTGTAGCTCAGCGATTTTTAACATTTCTTCTAACTGCAAGAAAAGGGGAGTACTTAGCTCAATCTTGTACAGGAAATGCCCACCAGGATCGACTTTCACAACATCAAAAACAGAAGCAACAATGCACAGCAGCATTTGGAACAGTGTGTTAGCATTTAGCACGCTGTTTTAACTTTGACATTATAGGAAAATAAGAAGGCCATTCAGCACTGTTCCAACATTCTATTAGATCATGGGCTAAACTGTACAGAGAGAGACAGCCTTGTTGTCACGACTGCGATCTGTTTTAAAATGAAACTTGATGATCTCCCATGATTTATCATAGAATCCCTACCCTGTGGAAACAGGCTATTCGGCCCATCGAGTCCACACCAACTCCACACCAAACAGCATCCCACCCAGACCCACCCCCTACCCTATCCCTGTAACCCTGCATTTCCCATGGCTAACCCACCTAGCCTGCACATCCCCGGTCACTACGGGGCAATTTAGCAGGACCAATCCACCTAATCTGCGCATCTTTGGACCGTGGGAGGAAACCAGAGCACCCGGAGGAAATCCACGCAGACACAGGGAGAATGTGCAAACTGATTCCACACAGGCAATCGCCCGAGAGTGAAATTGAATCCGGGTCCCTGACACTGTGAGGCGGCAGTGCTAATCACTGAGCCACCGTGCTGTGCACAATTAGCATGTCAGACATTTGTTGGGGGCAAATTTTAAGGTCTGCTGATAGTCATAGATTGTCAAAATAAAAATCGAGGGAAGATGCACATCAGAGGCTTTCTCCACACTCTGAGCCGTACATTATCAGCCAAAATTAAACTTGGTCATTGTTCTTCAATGATCATTTCTCAGATACTCCCTATAGGCAAGTAGCCAAAGTGATCGGTTGCAAATCTGGGAAGACATTGGACTATCTCAGGGCCATAAAATCCAAAGGACATAATGGGTTTTCTGCCTTTTCACGTATATTAAGATCACTTTACATTCTGGTTTGTGACGATTTTTCATGTCTATAGGGGAATGGACTTAATTGCTTTTTTGTTACAATGTATCAATATATAAAATAGCAAAAGGACTAATGAGCAGACATTGATGATTATTACCCAGGCGGATTCAGTGTTGAGCTAAATTAATATGCTGAGTTCAAATAACTAGTCTGCTGAATTGTATCAAATTTACAGCTTCACCTAATATTAACTGAATTCCTTTCCACTGCCAGGCTCTGCAAATCCTTGAATATTATTCTCCTAATGGAGTCATCAGCACCTTCCAGTTTATTAAGACAAAATTTAGCTTAAATAATGTTCCTCAAATTCACAAAAACACAGCCTGATCACCAAAAGATCTGTTTCTTCGAATATATGAAATCAATATGTCATTAGCAAAAGTAAGTATCTGGGAGCAAAATAATCCACATTGAAACATGCAACAACAAAGGCCATTTGTCCAATGTTCATGGGTAGGCTACTTTAAAGCGTTATTCAAGTAGTCCCCACTCTTTCCCCATTGATCTGCAAATTGTTCTTTTTCAAGTTTATAGAGCTAAGGTGGATAAATGGATTTGAGGTACAAAACAGCCTTAAACAGACTGACAGACAGGACTGATGAGGATGAATGCTCTCCTTTTATGTTTGCAAGTGTATAATCAAATTCCCTCTTGAAAGTTACTATTGAATCTGCTTCCTTCATCCTTTCAGGCAGTGCATTTCAGGTTGTAAAAACTTACAATATAAAAATATTTCTCCTCATCTCCTCTCTGGTTCTTTTATCAAATATTACAAGTGCATGCACTGAAAATTGGCAAATGTCATGTTACAGCCCCTGTTTGTTAGTCTGTTTGCCTGTACTAACAGATTCCAAAGCTAACAGAGTTCAAGCAAAACTGGAACACAAATGAGGTACGGACCAGAAAGGAAAGGATTAGTTTTTGATGAAATTCCAGATCAAAATTCAGAGCCTGGATTCTTTTTTAATAGATCTGTTAGCATTGGGAGCTCAGGTGAATTAACTTTTCTTTAGAACGTTGAGGTGTGTTCTATTCACAATTGTATTGAATGCTTTTGAATGCTGTGGATTCAATTTGAAGTACAATTTGTTACAGCTATCAAAATGTGAACAGAGTTTTCACAGCAGGTTGTTGGATAATAATTCATCTACAGCATCCCCAGTGAAAAAACATTTTTTTTCATTCTCATAGGTAAAGAACATCAATCAGGCAGTGAAAAACCTCAATTCCAACAACATTAAGTAAACACAGCATACTTGAAATGCTTCTACTACTACCGAGCGGCCTTGACTTGTCTTAAAACTGTGTCCACTGGATACTGGCTGACCTGCTAGTGGAAGCAGTTTGTGTTAATTAACAAGCATAGCTGAATTGACCTGGATTAATCTAGTAAGTAGCTGTAATGTTTAGAGCACAGTGGTCCCAGAATCATAACTAAAAGGCATTCCAAAGTGCTTTATAGTCAATAAAGTATTTCTGAGGTGTAGTTTCATTTCCCATTTCCCTCCCTGAGACATCATGGCCCTAATGTCCTTTAGTGAAGGAAACTGCCATCCTTACCTGGTCTGGCCTACGTGTGACTCCAGACTCACAGCAATGTGGTTGACTCTTAACTGCCCTCTGGGCAATTAGGGATGGGCAATAAATGCTGCCTAGCCAGTCTCGCCACTCATCCTGTGAGTGAATAAAAAAATTAATTGCCTAACAGCTTGAACCATTGTCAACAGAATTACAAATCAAAGATTGGATTCTATGGTCTAAGCTCTCTTAT